CCAATGGCAAAGGAAGACCTTTCTCTCTGTCTCTCTCTCTCTCTCACTGTCCACTCTGCCTGTCAAAAAAAAAAAAAAAAAATTTACAGTCTCTATTACTACCATCAAAAACATCAAGTATAGGCCGGCGCTGTGGCTCAATAAGCTAATCCTCCGCCTTGCGGTGCCGGCACACCGGGTTCTAGTCCCGGTCGGGGCACCGGATTCTGTCCTGGTTGCCCCTCTTCCAGGCCAGCTCTCTGCTGTGGCCCGGGAGTGCAGTGGAGGATGCCCCAAGTCCTTGGGCCCTGCACCCCATGGGAGACCAGGAGAAGCACCTGGCTCCTGGCTTCAGATCAGCGCAGTGCGCTGGCCGCAGCGTGCCGGCCACGGCGGCCATTGGAGGGTGAACCAACGGCAAAGGAAGACCTTTCTCTCTGTCTCTCCCTCTCTCACTGTCCACTCTGCCTGTCAAAAAAAAAAAAAAAATCAAGTATAGACTAAAGAAAATACAGAACCATTAATAATATACAAATAATGATGGATTTCACTAATAAACTATATGGATGAGAAATAAGGCAACAACCTATGAGAACCATGAACATTCACCAAAGTGTAACAGAGCCGAGAAAGGTCACAGTGGAAGTGACACTGCAGAGCTCAGTCACGCCGTGCTTGTGAAACAAAGGGAGAAACTGGGAATTTTCACAGACATTGGGTAAATGAACAAATGTTTCATTTCAAAGAAGTAGAAAAAATAGCCAGGCTAGAATTGACCTGTAGAGTGAAAATACTGCTGCCTCCTTAGGGAGAGGAGAGTGACGTTCAAATTGGTAAGATTGAAAACATTTCACAGAGTAATCTCAAGAGTTTCTACTAGTTCCTCTCTCTCATCTCACTCCCCAGGACATTGTCCCTTTAAAAAAAATTACTATTACAACAATTACTAAGAACCTAGGAATTCTGCTTTATTTCCCACAACTTAAAACCAAGAAAAAAAAATTTTAAGAAGGAAAAACGTCTGATAATCCCCATATCAACTTGAGAGCCTCTATCCTTCCACTTTAATGAAATACAATCTTTGCGCTAGTTAATAGGAATGTCAGAAACAGACAAACAGGTACTCATGGAAATGAGATCCTGGCGAAAACCTCAATACTCATTAAATCCTTTAAAGAGCAAAAACAAAACCCACACGGAAAGACTATTTCAATTTAATTTTATTATGAAAATGAAAGTAACAACAGGAAATGGCAGCAGGGTATTGGGTAAACTCAATTAGCAGGGGGATCAAATGAAGTGATGACATGCCATTATGACCTCAGGGGTTAAAGACTCAATTTTCCATCTGGTGAAACCCAGATTCCCAACACAAATGCTGACACCACCTGCTGTACCTTATTAGGCATTATTCTGAGCAGTCCCTAAGCTTTTTCCATACAACAGGTACAGCCTCAATTTTTGTTTTTCCCTATTGCATGCTGCAATATAATTGCTTCCCAGGGACAAAAATAAAAAATAAATTCTATGTAATGTCTCATTCAAAATAGGGATTAAAAGCATTCATCTACCAACCATAAGAATAGTAAAAATATCACAATTATTATTCTTCTAAGTCACAATTAATACTATGCTGTCATTTTCTACAGCTCCTAGGAGTTATTCCAACCAGGAGCTCCCTTTATGTTCTCTATTAATAGCCTCCTGCCACGGAAATGGATAATTTGGCCATGTCTGATACAAATCTACAGAACTCCTTCCGAAATAAGAATTCATTGTATTTTTAAATTTACTACTTCATCTACTACAATTCCTTGATTGAGACAACGGAAAATGGCTTTTGAACATTTTTACACACCAGGTTCTGGAGCCCACTTGTGAGTGTTCAGCCTCTTTGGTTCATGTTACCAAGAATCATGCTGTTAGCCTCTGAAAGTGCTATTTTTCATACTTTGAAATATGAACTTTGTAAGCTAGTGGCTAACTAACAAATGCCAGTTATTTGGATTAGGTTTGAATCCTATGATGTGTGCACAATCAAATGTGAACACATATGTAGGCAAACAGCAGATACAGATTCATATACCCAGTCTGACAGTGAGAGAGAGAGAGGCAGAGAGAAAGGTCTTCCTTTGCCGTTGGTTCACCCTCCAATGGCCGCTGCGGCCGGTGCACTGTGGCCGGCGCACTGCACTGATCCAATGGCAGGAGCCAGGTACTTATCCTGGACTCCCATGGGGTGCAGCGCCCAAGCACCTGGGCCATCCTCCACTGCACTCCCAGGCCACAGCAGAGAGCTGGCCTGGAAGAGGGGCAACCGGGACAGAATCCAGTGCCCCGACCAGGACTAGAACCTGGTGTGCTGGCGCTGCTAGGTGGAGGATTAGCCTAGTGAGCCGCGGCGCCGGCCCATATACCCAGTCTTAGGACACCATATTGGACACTCAATGTGAAATAAAATGAATATTCACAACTGTCTCCTTTTTTTGCTTTTTAATTAATTTTATTTGAAAGGCAGAGCAATGGGCCAGGGGTTGAGGAACAGGATCTTCCATCTGCTGGTTCGCTCCCCAAATGGCCACACCAGTCAGGGTTGGGCCAGGCCGAAGCCAGAAGCCAGAAACTCCATCCTGAGCTCCCATGTGGGTGGAAGGGGTCCGGGTACTTGGGTCATCTGCTGCTGCCTTCCAGGTGCAGAAGCACGCAGCCAGGTAGGAAGCAGAACAGCCAGGACTTGAACTGGCACTCCAATAAGGGATGTTGGTGCCACAAGTTAACCTGCTGTACCATAATGCTGGCCCCATGATTGTTACAATATTTATTCTGTTTATTACTAACACTATTTTTTTCTAATAAAATAAGTTTTTTGTCTTCTCTAAGTAAATTAACCAAACTCCTCATGTTAATCCAGTTCTTTTTTTTTTTTTTTTAAGATTTATTTTATTTATTTGAAAGAGTTACAGAGAGAGGTAGAGAAAGAGAGAGAGGTCTTCCATCCACTGGTTCACTCTCCAGATGCCTGCAACGGCTGGAGCTGCGCCGATCCGAAGCCAGGAGCCAGGAGCTTCCTCCGGGTCTCCCATGTGGGTGCAGGGGCCCAAGGGCTTGGGCCATCTTCTACTGCTTTCCCAGGCCATAGCAGAGAGTTGGCTCAGAAGAGGAGCAACCGGGACTAGACCCAGCACCCATGTGTGATACCAGCGCCTCAGTCCAGGGCTTTAACCTGCTGCACCACAGTGCCAGACCCTCCAGTTACTTCTTAACTGTTTGGGAGCTACCTAGGTTTTTCTCTCATTAAAATTTATACACAGGACCTGGGTTGTAGTGTGGCTGGTAAAGCTACCACTTGTGACACCAGCATCCCACACGGGCGCCAGTTCACGTCTTGGCTGCTCCACTTCCAATCCAACTCCCTGCAAATGGCCTGGGAAAGCAGCAGAAAATGACCCAAGTGCTTGGGCCCCTGAACCCATGTGGGAGACCCGGAAGAATCTTCTGGTCATGGTCTTTGGACTGGGCTAGCCCTGGCTATAGTGGCCATCTGGAGAGTGAACCACTAGATGGAGGAGATCTCTCTCTGTAACTCTTTCAAATAAATAAATAAATATTTAAATAAAATAACATTTATTCCTAAAGTGGGCATGTGGCACAATAGTTAAGCTGCCAGCTGCGATGCTGGCATCCCATTATCAGAGTGCCTGGTTCAACTATTCCACTTCCAATCCAGCTTTTTACCAATGCACATCCTTGAAGGCAGCATATAATGGTTTAAGTACTTGGGTACCTGTCACCCACAGGGAGACCTGGACTGAGTAACTGGCTCCTGGCTAGGGCCCAACCCAGCCCTGGCTACTGCAGGCATTTGGGGAGTGAACTAATAGATTGAAGATCTCTCTCTGCTATCAAATAGAATGAAAATAAATAACATTTTTAAAAAAGATTTATTTTTATTTATTTGAAAGTGAGAGTTACAGAGAGAAAGAGAGAGAGAGAGAGATCTTCCATTCACTGGTTCACTCCCCAAATGGCCCCAACAACCCAGGCTGGGACAGGCCGAGGCCAGAAGCCAGGAGCTTCATTTGGGTCTCCAATGTGAGTGCAGGAGTTCAAGCACTTGAACTTTTTGCTGCTTCCCCAGGCACATTAGCAGGGAGCTTGATTGAAAGTGGAGCAGCAGGGACTCAAATACGAACCATACAGGATGCTGGCTTGACCTGTTATGCCACAATGCTAGCCCCATAAATAAAAATTTTAAAAACTTATTCCCAGGGCTGGTGCTGTGGAACAGCAGGTTAAAACCCTGGCTTGCAGAGCCAGCATCCCATAAGGGCATCAGTTCAAGTCTCAGCTCCACTTCCAGTCCAGCTTCCTGCTAATGAGCCTAGAAAAGCAGTGGAGGATGGCCCAAGTCCTTGGGCCCCTGCACCTACGTGGGTGACCTGGAGAAGTCCCTGGCTTCAGACTGGCTCAGCTCTGACCATTTAAGCCATTTGGGAAGCGAACAAGTGGATAGAAGACCTCCCCTCCCCCCACCTGCAACTCTTTCAAATAAATAAAATGAATCTTTAAAAAAAAGTATTCCCTGGCCGGCGTCGCAGCTTAATAGGCTAATCCTCCACCTAGCGGCGCCAGCACACCGGGTTCTAGTCCCGGTCGGGGCACCGGATTCTGTCCCAGTTGCCCCTCTTCCAGGCCAGCTCTCTGCTGTGGCCAGGGAGTGCAGTGGAGGATGGCCCAAGTACTTGGGCCCTGCACCCCATGGGAGACCAGGATAAATACCTGGCTCCTGCCATCGGATCAGCGCGGTGCACCGGCCGCAGCAGCCATTGGAGGGTGAACCAACGGCAAAATGAAGACCTTTCTCTCTGTCTCTCTCTCTCTCTCACTGTCCACTCTGCCTGTCAAAAAAATTAAAAAAAAAAAAAAAAGTATTCCCTAGGTTATTGCATTTTCTTCCTCCTAGGTGAGTAGGTTTCCAGCAATACGAGCACCTAAAACTTTTTAAGTGAGTTAAGACTTACTTGGCTTTCTGAATCCACACACAGTAGTCTGAGATGTAGAGATCATTTAGAATGTAAGCTGGGTCATTTTCCCGAAAAATTTTGTGAATATTCAGAAGACACTTTAAAATGGCACTTTTACCTAAAGGAAGGTAAAAAAATATATATATAATGAGCCATAAGAAAGAAGCATGTGATTTTTTTTAACTGTGAAATTCAGCTATAGAAAGGTAGTATGTTTAAAGCAACTCAAGAGTTTTAATCATTTCTTTAAATTTTTGAAATACAAGTTTACTGAATAAAAAGATATCAATCCTATTAAGTTAAGCTCCTTATTTCTTTAAGAATTATGAATAATCTTTATATTCTACTGATACAGCTGATTAATTGCAGTTACCATTAAAATTGTGGTTACCACAAAAGTGCTATGAAACACAACTAGATGAATTAAACAATGGGCAGAAGTTTTCCCAAACTAAATGAATATTTAAATGCATCATAATTTTAATTAAATAATGTTCTAATTCACATTTTCAAAATAACATGGAAAATTATATTTTAATTTTTGAACGTACTTTTATGTCAACATCTTTTGTCAAAGGATTGCCTAGTTACTAACAATTTTTTTCACTATTAAAAAAAAAACTGAAAAGACTGATAACCAAAATAGCATAGCACTACCTCAGAAATAAGCTAACAAAAATTTCTTATAAAAACACCATCAGGTCTTAAAGTCTTGTCTAGGGGCTGGCCCTGTGGCATAGAAGGTTAAGACTCCGCCTACAGTGCCGGCATTTCCTTTGGGCATGGGTTCCAGTTCCAGCTGCTCCTCTTCTGATCCCACTCTCTGCTGTGGCCTGGGAAAGCAGTGGAAGAAGCCCAAGTCCTTGGGCCCCTGCACCAACATAGGAGACTCAGAGAAGCTCTTGGCTCTGGCCTGGCCATTTCCAGCCACTGCAGCCATTTGGGGGAAGATCTCTCTCTTTCTCTCTCTCTCTCTCTCTCTCTTTTTTTTTTTTTTTTTTTTTTTGACAGGCAGAGTGGACAGTGAGAGAGAGAGAGACAGAGAAAGGTCTACCTTTGCCATTGGGTCACCCTCCAATGGCTGCCGCGGCCGGCGCACTGCGCTGATTTGAAGCCAGGAGCCAGGTGCTTCTCCTGGTCTCCCATGCGGGTGCAGGGCCCAAGGACTTGGGCCATCCTCCACTTAACTCCCAGGCCACAGCAGAGAGCTGGCCTGGAAGAGGGGCAACCGGGACAGAATCCGGCGCCCCGACCGGGACTAGAACCCGGGGTGCCGGGGCCGCAGGTGGAGGATTAGCCTAGTGAGCCGCGGGGCCAGACTCTCTCTTTATCTCTTTCAAAAAAAAAAAAAAGTGTTGTCCAACCCAATTACTTCCCCTGGTTGTTAAATGAACCTAATTTTTTTTTTTAAAAGAGTTACTCGGCTGGCGCCGCAGCTCACTAGGCTAATCCTCCACCTGCAGTGCCAGCATCCCGGGTTCTAGTCCTGGTCAGGGCGCTGGATTCTGTCCTGGTTGCTCCTCTTCCAGTCCAGTTCTCTGCTGTGGCCCAGGAGTGCAGTGGAGGATGGCCCAGGTCCTTGGGCCCTGCACCCACATGGGAGACCAGGAAGAAGCACCTGGCTCCTGGCTTGGGATCGGTACAGCGCGCCAGCTGGCGTAGTGGCCATTTGGGGAGTGAACCAACGGAAAAAGGAAGACTTTTCTCTCTGTCTCTCTCTCTCTGTCTAACTCTGCCTGTCAAAAAAATAAAATAAAATAAAAGATTTATTCATTTATTTGAAAGGCAGAGACAGAGACAGAGACAGAGAGAAATCTTCCTTCTACTGTTTCACTCCCCAGATGGCTGCAACAGATAGAGCTGGGAGCCAGGATCTTCCTCCATGTCTCCTACACAGGTGCAGGGGCCTAGGACTTGGGCATCTTCTACCTCCTTCCCAGCCACATCAGCAGAAAGCTGGATCGGAAGTGAAGCATCCAGGACTTGAACTGACGCCCATGTGGGATACTGGCGTCACAGGCAACTGCTTAACCTGCTACAACATGACGCCAGATTAAATGAACCCAAGTTTAATCCAACCAAAGTCACTAAAAGAAATCTTTTACAACTCAATAATTCCTAGATTTTCAAAATCCATGACATTCTCTGAAATGTATTCACTATGAGGCAAACTACAACATCTAGAGTAATACCACTTTCTTTGATCTGTGAAATATCAGCACTTTCAGGCTACCAGTTTTCAATCTTCTGTACAGTTCTAAAACACGAAAATACGATTCTGTATGCTGATTTCATGAAGATGCTCGTTGTATTTCATTGACATTTCCCATTTACCTTTTAGATCATAAAATAATCACCAGCTAGAGAACACTATCTCAGTGTCTCCAAACTGTTGCCACTGACTTTTCAGCATAAAGAACACTAGAAAATAAGTTCCAGAAGAGCAGGAACTTCGAATTTATTTAGTAGTTATCTCCAATACCTAAAAGAGAACTTAGCAGCAAGAGGTTTTTGATTTAAGCATTTTGAGAATCAGTGAATGACATAGCAACTGCCCACTTTAAATCCATGTGATTTTTTTTTTTTATTCCAGTCTCACACACCAAGTCCTGATGATTGTCCTTGGAAATCCTCCTTGTATCTGCCTTTTCCCCAACACTGCCTGCACAACTATCCGCACTTCTATCCTCAGCATCTGATGCCCATATATTTTCACAACCTTTTGCCCATCTTTCAGATCCCAGACTCTCACCCTTTTAACACACTTGTGTGTGTGTGTGTGATGCGTACACCTTCACGGCTCTCTACCGGACCTGTTTCCAACCCTTTGCTCACTGCTTCTCCTTTCCCTCCTCACTTGACTTAGTTTGCTGGCAAGGTCTAGCTCAAGTGTCTGTCCCTCCAGGAAGCCCAGGGCTGACCTCCGTGGTACTCAGGGCTTTCACTCCACACTGCAAAGGAAAGAAGAGGAAGGCAGCGGGGCTGATTCTTCCCAAACCTCCCCCACCCGCTTCGCAGGAGCAGAGGCTCCAGGATGCAGGATGCTTGCAGTGCCACTGAGTGGAGGGATAGGCTCAAATTCCCATCTTACTGGCTTAGGGCAGCCATTGTGCCATGCTGCCTGCCTCCATGTTCTTTGCCCATTCAGTCTACACCACAACTTTCTCATTATTCAAGAGCTAAGTAGGTAACCAGCACTTGAAAACAGAGGTCATGTCTTTTTGAGGAAAAATGTTAACTCTTTACTTGGCTTCCTCACATGCAGATGGGAAGAATGCCAATGAAAGCTCCACTGCTGGCCTGGTGAAGAGAATTAAGTAATACTTAGAAGCCTTAAAAGTATAAGATATCAAGTTCATTTGGGTAAGCTAAGGCCAGAGCTAGGACTCATTAAAGTGGCCCTGGTTAACTATGTCAAATGCTTAGTGTGGATTCCGCAAACCCCACCGCAGGCCCACTTTACGAAGTAGATAGTGTTGAAGGCCAAGTCTGATGAAAGGAGGAGGAACTATAATCAAAATCCACACATGTATGTTATCCAAGAATCACAGGAGAACTAACTAACCTGTAAGAATGTTCTGAACAGTTTTGATTGCACAGAGAAGCTAAGTGTCACAATGAACGCATGTCACTGGATTCTCTCTCTCTGGGGTGAGAGAGGTATAAAACAGAAGGAGTTAATTTAGTTTTATAACTACTAATTTAGAGTTTTAGAAGTCAATTCTAGATCACCAGAAAAACAAACTACTGGCTTGTAACCTGAATAAGCCTCTCCACAGTGTGGCACACCCAGAACATTGGCTCTCAAGATCCTGGACTGTGCTGACAGAAGCAGGTAAACACAAAATGCAAGATTTGGAGAAAATCACTTGGCTGGAGCAGATGGTTCATTAGGGAAATAGAAAGACTAAGCAGGTGACTTCGGTAGAAGTCAAACTATATCCAGGAGGGTAACATAACTGCAGTTGGATGGGACTGAGTGAGAAGACCTAAATTCCAGAGGGGGTAGTGGAAATAAAAGCCCCTACTCCAAAGACTTTTAGGAAGATGCCATGGTAGTAAGGTGATACAGGTAATCAGGATCCACAGCAGCCCCTCCCTAAGAAATTATACAGCTGCATTTAGTACACATGCCTAAAGTAAGGCTGCACTCTTGCTTAGGGCCACAGGTAAATCTTCAACTTATCACAAAAGAAGAATAATAAAAGGGTAATAGTTAAAATAAATGCCTAAATAAGAAGAAATGTCAAACAACAAAAAATAAAAAGTGCCATAAAATAAACAACTGGGGCAAGCAACTGGTGCAGTGGGTTACTACCACTTGAGACACCTGTATCCCACGTCAGAGTGCCTGGTTTGAGTCCTGGCTACTCGGCACTTCTGATCCAGATTCTGCTAGAGCACCCAGGAGGCAACAGAGGATAGCCTATGTACTTGGGCTCCTTCCACCCATGTATAAGACCCAGATAGAGTCCTGGCTCCTGCCTAGCCTGGCTCTGGCTGCTGAGGGAATTTGACTAGTCAGACAGCAGATGGAAAATATCTGTCTCCCCCCAGCCCCATCATTCTGCCTTTCAAATCAATCAATCAATCTTTACAAATAAATAGGGACCAGTACTGTGTGTGGTGCATTGAGTTAAGCTGCCACTCGCAATGTCAGCATCTCACATCAGAGTGCCGGTTCAAGTCCTGACTAATCCACTTCCAATTCAACTTCCTGCTAGTGCACCTGAGAAGGCAGTGGAAGATAGCCCAAGTATTTGGGGCCCTACCATCCAAGCAGGAGACCCAGGTGGAGTTCTGGGCTCCTGACTTTGTCCTGGTCTAGCCCTAGCTGCTGTGGTTGTTGGGTCATTAGCGTAGTAAAGCACAGGATGAAAGAGCTCTCTTTCTGTCTCTCTCTCCCTCTCTCTGTCACTCTGTTTTTCAAATAAGTAAATAAATAAATTTTACAAAAAATAGACATAATTAACTATAAAGCCAATGCCTAAAATACTGACACACAAATGTCACATATTTTAATTTATACTGAAAATCATATTTTTAAACAACTGAGAAACAATATTTAGATCATGTAATTTTAAAAGATCACACATCAAGCTGTTTTCAAAGAGGAAG